TTATTGCTCTTAAAAAATATAACTCCTCAAAGCGAGATAGTTCTTTCATGGCTTTACGGGCTCTATTTTTTTAAACTTGCAAGTATGTAATCACATTATTTTAATAAGTAGAACACAAGAATATATTATATGTAATAAAATAATTATTTTTATAATAATTATTTTTATTTTTATTTTGTCCGAATTTAGTTTTGGAACTCTCCCGCGATGCAAATTTACATCTTTAGATTTAATCTTCAGATTTTTTAATGAGTTCTGAGAATACCAGTAAAGTTTTGAAAGAAGTCTACGAGAAAAATAAGTTTGGGAGCCTCTGGTATACTATGTAATATAGCTCTGCAATTTTGTAAGATAAACTAAAAATATGAGTGTACTCGTACGCCCAACTATCTAAAGTTTTATTAAACTTTTACTGGTTTTGCGTTCTCGTACCCAAAAAACTTGCAAAGTAGGGGAAATTGGGAGAGCAAAATGTGAAAGAGAGCTGCAAATTTCTGCTGGAAAAATTTTTCCCAGCTAAAACTTGCAAGTAAGAAAATCAGCTGATCACAAACACATGTTGTAAATAAACAAAAGAAAATACGAGGTGTGTACTCGTATTGAGAGGACAAAATTCTCCAGCAGCAAAAGTTCTGAGAATTTAGCAGCATTCGCTCTCAAAGAGACGAAATATCAACAAAAGTACGAGAAGGCAAAATTTGCAAAAACTTGCAACCTTCGAAACAGCTGATCACTTGCACAGTTGCCACTGGTGATTAATTTGGCAATTTATTTTCTGCTTGGTGCATTTTTCTCCGATTTGGCATTTTATACAATTGAATAGTTTTGGATAAGAAAAACCTTTTTAAAATACGAATTAATTATATCGGAATGAATAAGTTATTTTTCTCATAATTATTTCTGATATCACATGGTGACGCATTAAAAACAAGAGTATCTCCTCCAAACACCCATCTTTGATCCAAAAAAATGTAAAAGAGTAAGTTTAAAATTATAAAATTTTCATTTCAACAATCAACCTACCAAAACCGAAAACTTCAGCAAAAACACATTTCAGCATGCTTCATTTAAATCTATTTTGGTATATTTGAAGGAAAATTATGGTACAAATGAAAAATGTCATACGGCCACCATAGTCAGCACGCACTAAAGTAAACAAACTGGAGATTAATAGCAAATTAACGAAAAATAAACTCAACAAACGTTGTGCTTATTAAATTTACGCACTTTTTAGTTATATACTAGCATTAATAATAAAATTTGCAATAAATAACTCAAAAAGGCCATATTTTCTTTTGTTTATTTACAACATGTGTTTGTGATCAGCTGATTTTCTTACTTGCAAGTTTTAGCTGGGAAAAATTTTTCCAGCAGAAATTTGCAGCTCTCTTTCACATTTTGCTCTCTTAATTTCCCCTACTTTGCAAGTTTTTTGGGTACGAGAACGCAAAACCAGTAAAAGTTTCCTAAAACTTTAGATAGTTGGGCGTACGAGTACACTCCTATGGCCTTTTTGAGTTATTTATTGCAAATTTTATTATTAATGCTTGTATACAACGAAAAAGTGAGTAATAATATGCACAACGTTTGTTGTGTTTATTTTTCGCTAATTTGCTATTAATCTCCAGTTTGTTTACTTTAGTGTCAAGAATGATAGAATACAAGATTGCACCAATGAGAGAGGATTTTTGAGCGTAATTTTTGCGTGACGTCATCTTGGTGCAATCGCGAGAGAAATGCCAAAACGCATATAAAAATATGTAAACAATGCAGAAAAATTTGTTAATTTTATTATTACATGGCCCAATTTTGCAGGAATCAATGAATATACAAAGATTGATTCATTGGGAACACGTAGCAATAATTTTGGACATGTAGCCATTTAGATAAGTACGATTTTGAGCACATGAGAAAATGGACGTATTAACAGTGTTTGCAATTTCATGTGGACCAAAAGGAAGGTAGGCAGCAAAGTGAATTTTTGGACTCGCCATTGTAAAAAGCCATGCAT